TACAGCAGGATCGCCACTGGCTTCTATTCTGAGCCATATCTGATAACGTCTCTAGCCACAGTGTTGTACCATCTCTCAGACCCCAACCAGGGAGTCGTGTAGGACCAACAGAAGCCAGCCCTTTGCAGATTTCTTTCATACCACGACACCATGTCATACACTGACCACCCCTCCGCTTTTTCTAACCAGTCCCAGCGTCGGCAAATAATGCACGACGTGGGACTCTCTGAGACGACATTCGTAGAACATGTCCAAGCCACCGAAGTCGGTGTTTCGAGATGGTGACACCAATTGCATTATCGTCTCTGTGCCCACTTATATGAAGAAGTTAGAAGGCGGTTACAGAAGGACCCCCACTGATTTCTCTTATAAACCACATATAACGTATTAAGCCACTGCATTGTAATATTTCTATAACCCTCGAACCAGTGAGTCGTGAAGAACCGACATGTTAGTCCTGTTCAAATTCCCTTAATACCATGGGACCATTTCACAAACTGACAACCGCTTTTTCTAAGCAGTCCCAATATGGGTATATAATGTACGATAAAGTCGCTGGGATGGCATTCGTAAATTATATCCAGGCCACCGAAGTCGATGTTTCAGGATGGTGACAACTACTGAATTCTTGTCAGGGCCCGGATACACGTTACCGAATTACCATATTACTAACATGGTGTCATTTCTGAATGTCAACAATCCTTAGGAGACAAGCTAACATCACGACAGCACTAGAGATGCTCCTATGGGTATGAGACGTTTTGGCTTTCACCACCTGCACTTACACAGTGACCCAGATACACAAACTTTGCGACTACTTCCAACTTCTTCCTACCAAGAGTAAGCAGGCGTAGGTTCCTATCAGTTCGTGCACTTAGCATCCTGTACCTGGAAGATTCAAAGAACATACCATACCGACGGACACCCATTGCTAACTGATTAAATGTGGATTGCATGGATTAAGTATCATTGCGCACTTAGACAATATTTTCACCGTACTCGAAATAAAAACAATTTAGATCCAGGTAACAGATCCACACCACTACCTACTTCCATTAGAGCTGTTTTCAGAAAGTCATCTATAGCAAAGTTAAAGAGTAATGGTGGGGTTGGATAACTGCTAAACTCCACTACTGAAATAAAACAATGGATGTGGTTGTATACCCTTACTCTGCCTAAGGTGTTTGTGAACAGCCTTTAAGATGTTGATAAACCTCTGTAACAAACAATCACAGACCACAGTCATGTATAACGAATCGGCGACCTTGATATCAAGAAAAACAACGGTTGTTAACCTGTAATAAGTATTGTGGTGTTATAATATTTAGTGAACGGTTGATATGATCAGTGGATGGCTCAAAATCGATCAAAATGGCGTAGGTGTATACACTCTGTCTTCCCTTAAACCGTGAGATTAAAAGCGCTTTATACATTTCTTTCTACGAACTAATTCTTTTTTCCTGTATTATACAGAACCTTTTATTTATTGCTACTATTGAAGTAATTACCATGAACTCGGTGTTTATCTTGTGCTAATGAGATGCGGCAACTTGGATCGATGCACACATGCGTTTATTTATTTATTTATTTATTTGAACACATGAATATTGGTACAAGAGTGCGCCAATATATATGCGCCACACAAAATGAGAATTCGAAGAGTAGAAAAAAACTAAGGAGCGCAAAAGAAAAAGAGGACAATGACGAAGAGATTGGAGTAAGGTAGTGTGGTAGTAACGACGGAACGAAAAGGTACAATCAGAAGAAATCTTTCAGGTAAATGAGACACAACCACTTTTTATGAAGAAAGTAAAAGAAGGTTACAGCAGGATCGCCACTGACTTCTATTCTCAGCCATATCTGATAACTTCTCTAGCCACTGTGTAGCACCATCTCTCAGACCCCAACCAGGGAGTCGTGAAGGACCAACAGAAGCCAGCCCTTTGCAGATTTCTTTCATACCACGACACCATGTCATGCACTGACCACCTCTCCGCTTCTTCCAACCAGTCCCAGAGTCGGCAAATAATGCACGACGTGGAATTCTCTGGGACGACATTCGTAGAACACGTCCAAGCCACCGAAGTCGGTGTTTCGAGATGGTGACACCAATTGAATTATCATCTCTGTGCCCGAACACACGATGCCGAACCTCTGCATTACTGACATGGTGTTGCCACTGAATGTCAGCAATCCTTCGGAGACAGTGATGATCGAACACAGAGAGTCGTCTAACATCCTCAACTCGGAGAGGCCAGGTTTCACAAGCATAGTGCAAAACTGCTCTTACCGACGCGTTGTAGATCCGGCCTTTTACAGCCAGACTAACATCACGAAGGCACCAAAGGTGGCCCAGATTGGCATAAGCCGCTCTGGCTTTCACTATTCGTGCATTGATCTCATCACTCACACCCCCACCAGCACTTATGCAGCTACCCAGATACACGAACTTCTCAACTACGTCTATCTGCTCACCATCCAGGGTGCGTTTGGCCCTAGGTTGTAGCTGACTGATTGACTGATGATTAATGCATTTATGACCAAAAGGAAAACCACCCCGCTCCCCGCGAATTAGTCTTTCATGGGCTTTTAACAATCTGGGAAGTATGACGGAACCCAATAGTTTTGACGCAACAGGAGGTAGACTTAACCCGAGATAGTTGTCGCATATTTTATTTATTTATTTCAACACATAAATATATGGTACAAGAGGCCACCAAATATATATGCGCCACACCATATGTGTGTGTATGTGGGCTGTGATACTCCCCGGGTGCCCAAACCGAAGCAGGTGGTTATCTTAGAGGGCCACATCCCAAGCCTTTGACCTAAAGGTCTAAACCACAAAGCAGTGGAGCATCGTGAGGAGATGCATTCCCATGGTAGCCGGTGACCGACGATTGGTTCATACGCCATTTGTTCCCGCAGGATACTGGAGCCCATGTGCACCATTGATTTGGAATCCGGTTAAAGCGCCGGACATTGGCCTTTCGTCCTCTCATTTTCGTAAACAACACCCCCTCCAAGAGAAGGCAGTGAGTAGGACTTCCCTGGCAGAGGCTGTATACGCGTGGTCGCGTGAGAGCACTTCGAGAGGGAAGGAGGGCCCACCCCACTCTCGACCATACCAGGGCATTACAACGATCGCCTCATTCCAAGATGTTGAAACAAACCCTATTTCCCAAAGCTTCCCAAAAATGTATTCAACCTCCTGACCAGAAGATCATCACCATCCTTAGAAAGAACTGGGAGTAGGTCGTCTTAGTCTAACGACATGTAACGCTCCGAAAGTTAGGAGGTGCTTGCGAACTCCTGCCACGTAGGGTAGGTTAGTCATCACGGGTTAAATTAACCGACATCGCTGGAGTAACAGGCCAGCTGAAATGCCACTTAAAAACTGCCCACTGTCCTAGACGGCTCTGGATGTTGGCAAGTGGCGCTCCGTCAACTTCAAAAATTGTTCTACTCATACCGGGCTGCCAGTTGCGAGTGCTTCAGATGAGTTGAAACAATTTTCGGCAACTATCAGATGTAGCAGCTGGTTCCAATTCGATACCGCACTTTGGCCACCAGGTTCCTCAGTCTTTATGCAGACTTCATGATATTTCTTTACGTAAGTATCATCAAACTTTGATTCGTCGGGGCAAACTGACATGCTTGAGGGAGCTGTAAAGAACCTGTACAAACTTCGTGCTCATAAGTGGTACGTCTGCTAAAACACAAGAGATGTGACTCGCCGTTTTCATGGTGTCATCCAAATGCATCTAGCATTCATCTACACATTGCAGAGGACTGGTTACTAGTCTTGAATCTAACTCAATATGCTATTTAGTGGTAACGGAAGCTACAGCCAATTTGGTTCCATCAATTCTTTTGGATCAAGACATTAGCTGACCACCGAAACGTAAAACAAACTTGGCACAAACCGAATCATGTTTAGAATCCGAATAGATATAACAAAAAGATCTGAAGTCGTGTGCACAACCGTGCTAAAAGTAGCTGATCGAGATATGATCAATTTAATCCTAGTCTTGAGTTCCAGGCGGACCCCGAGTAACATATTAGTGTTAACTGTGCCGCAAGTTGTTGCTGACCAGAAACAGTTTGCGGTCTGAGCGAAGTTACAGGAGACGGTCACCGTTATCCGACCTGTCCTATTGGCCGCCTACGCGACTCTTATCTGTGAATAGATGTCCGGCTAATAATACACCTTACATGGACTACAAAGGATATGTGATGAGTCACTTATTTCTAAACTTCCGCAGCCAAATATTACGGAACAGCAAGATAGACTAAAGTACAAACACTAAACCGTACAGTATAATTGCCCTTACGTGGAAAACGAGGTGTACGAACAACAGAGCATTGGAGACCAGCTTTACCACCTTTAGAATGACCACTCATTCTTTCCAGAGGTAGAGAAACATTTACTTACGACAACCATGTGGATTTTGCCACCCATTAACCTACAGAACTGGCATAACTGTAAAGTTAACATGGCTGAAGACCTTAGTAAGTATAGTTAGGAAAGATAATGGTATAGACATTCTGTAATTATCTAAACTCCAGTCGCTAAGATCATTCCAAATACAATTCTTACATGTAATGTCTTGTAAGAAGCTTTTGTTTAGATTAACACTAAGGGGTCACTTGTTGTTTAGATAGTCAAAATGACATCAATGCTGTAACTAGCTGATTTTCGAGCAAATATGTAGCCGATTGTTCCAACTGGCTTATAGATTGTAAACATAGGTCATCCAGTGTGAACCTAAGCTATATTCAGTATGTGCAAGTTAACAAGAGTTGGTATCGTGAGCTTCCTTTTGCTGACAAACATTATGCACTAACAGACAGAATTACGTCAAATTTTCGATGGGTGAGATTTGAAACCGGGAGGAATTGGTCTGAGAGACGTCAACTACTCCCTCACACTGCTAGGATTTATCATCCGATGAAATTTCCGAAAAAAAACCTAACATGTCATTTATCTTCATGTTTACTGAAGGGGATTCTTCTACGAGTTTGAGGACCAGTTCCAACGAAAGGACACCACATGTAGATTATGAGAAAGTCCACTTACAAACAATAATATTATGGTCCAGTCCCTTACAAACGCAGATAGAATTATCTACTTCAACATGAAGACAACCTATTCGTTGATTTTTAATATCAGTATTTAAAAGACGACATCAACCATAAACACGAACCCATTAGTGCTTACCGCCTTGCAATCGAAAGTACTCTCCCGCGTAGTATGACCTTCGAGGAGATATCCTCAATATCCAATATCTGAATATTGCCAACCAATCTTACACTTCAGGTTCAAGCACAATTCAGATTTCAAATCATGGTTTTTTAGTGAGGATAGGAAGCCAAACGAATCTGATGTAAGTGTAAATACACATTCAGGTAGTATGGTCACTTCGCCGAGCGTTCAAATCTTTTGACGAGGAATCAATTCGAATTTTATGTCCCATATATGTAAGACCACATTTAGAGTACTGTATCCAAGCAGCTAGCCCGTGTCTGGTAAAGGATACTAACTCCCTTGAGCGTGTCCAGCGTATGGGAACGAAATTAGTGAAGGGTCTTTCTAGACCCCCTTACGATGAGCGTTTAAAACGCCTAAGTCTTTCCCCTTGTCGTATCGTAGGACACGAGGTGACCTTATACTGGCATTTCGTATCTTTAATTATGATTTGGGTGTTAATATGTCTTATCTTTTCGCTCCCTCTAGCACTAATAATCTCCGAGGTCATAGCAAGAAGGTTCATAAACCACGGTCTAATAAACCTAAAGTGGGGTCCCGTTTTTCTCATCGAGTATTCAATCATTGGAACGCCTTACCTGAACAAGTGGTATCAGCCCCACCAGTGAATACTTTCAAGGAGAAGCTGGACCTTCACTGGAAATCAATGTGTCAGGATTAATACAGGTTCACCAACCTACTATCCTTATTACTGAAGACTGACTGAAGACTGATCTTCCAAGAGTCAAATTGTTCAAATGGTTCTGAACAGAATAAAAGAAGCTTTCGCTTTACGTGTTTCCATATCTAGTAGCAGTCATTTGAAGGTCACCCCCAAGACGCCTGAGTAAAGGTTCAGTGATTGGCTGTGCTCTTCATAAGACTTGAAGTTGAGTCCCCGAACTGACTTCGTAGATCACCGTTGGACACGTCCCAGAGTATCCTTATCCTTTTAGAGTGAGGGAGGAAATACTATGTTCCCGCACTCTAAGCGGAGACAAGTAAAATTGTTGAAAATCAGGTGAAAAGTTTTTCCGTCGAGCGTTACCAGTGCAAGATTTGCTCGGAAGGCATTTTTGCCGCAGTTAGCGTAAGAATTAAGATCATAAAGTACCAACACTCCTAGATCATTTCCAACTTCCGACACCTCCAGAGAGGATTACCTATGTTGCAGTTGTAGTTTGCAACATGCCTCAGACGGACTACTCTACACTCTGGAGTGTAAAGGGTAGGTCAGTTGTTATCTCCCCAACTTTGAAGTCGAGTCAGATCCTCCCGAAGTGCCAGTATATCCTTTTGGTTGCATAATTTCCTCTAGAGTTTCACATCGTCGGCAAAAATTAATAAATCCGATAATATCTGCAGTGGAAGATCACTTGTGTAGGTCAAGAAAACAAGTGATTCTAATAGTATACCCTGGGGAACCCCACAAGAACATTTCACAGCCTGAGAAGTATTGAACCCGGTTTTCCTGACCTGGTTAAAATAAATGAGATGACAAACCATGTCCACAGTGATTTTCTAGTATACTATAGGCCTTTGAATTAACTTCACAGACAATGACGAGGATGAAATACAAATCTTCAACTGATCTCATATATTATACTCGAGCTAACCCGTCTAAGTAACTGACTTGATGAGGACGTAAAAGCATAATAGTGATGCCAAATGGATACATATAATTCCGAATGAAACAAACTGTGTCTGAACAATGCTTTACCTACTAGTTACAGTTACAACAAACTTGTGTGATCGATTGATTGTTGAAAAAGAGCTCCTGATAAAAAAATAAGCGTACTGTTCCAGGTGGAGTTTAATTTTTCGAGCCAGAAGGTTTGGTCATGGAGCTTTCATTTTTCTTCTGAAAAACATCGGGAGGAACGTCGGATAGAGGCGAAACATTTCAGCTCCTAAGCTTTGACTCACACCTCATCCTTTTGACCTCAATACTGGTCAGTTATTGCTGACCTTTAACCTGCCGTTATCTGCATCTTTTCCGCCATCATATTCCTCTACAACCTGATTCTTCGTGAAAAATGCTGAGATCTTGAACAAAGGGAGCGAACAACGGTTTCCAGCATTTTATTTATAAATTATTACATTAATTCGTAGCTAGAGATAATTCTCTTTAGGACTAAATATCGCTACACTTTTCAATCTTAACTGATACCAGTTTTTTCTTTTTCTTATGTGCTTTATACATTATTCTTCTTAATGGTCTGATCCTGAATGTAGACACTTCTGGATTGCTTTAATGTACAAGGCATTTCTTTACATAAGATCTCTTGATTAGAATGACTGAACGTTCACATTTTTGTTCTATTTTGCATTTGTGCATATATCTACATACTAAATGTCTATTATAATTTTCCTACCATTTCCCCTATTGCATTTGCCATCTTCATTAATGTACAATGAATCCTCGCATTTAATCAAAACAGAGGTCTTAATTCCCAAATTACCCTGGGCCCTCTACTTTGACATTGGCACCACTGTTTCTATTTCAGCACTTTTTCTTTGGTCGTTCGGATATTAATCATTTACGAATCATGCCTCAGAAAACATTTGAAGCTTTTACATTTAGGCGTCCTGCCTAACATCACGAAAGGAAACGACCTAATAGTAACATGGACACGGTTTTCACGACTCGTGCTACTCGAATGATCTAGTAATAGACAAGCTTTTTCCAGTTCTTAGTGTCACATCCATCTTTGAATACGGTATTTTACTTTACAGCGATTGCAGGTACAATGACTTCATGAAAATTGAAGATTCAGGGATGACTAACTAAAATTGTTTTGGATTATTTCGACAACTCAAGTTAGAACCTCTCTGTATCAGGAGGATCGACTCTAACCCTATCTTTAGCTACCGGCTCATAAATGGTATTTCTTACTCTTCGACATCCACTCCTACGTATTCTATCAACATCGTACAACCTGAGCAACGAAGATAATATTCTATCAACTCCGAGAAACTACACAAAGTTACGCCAAAATCTTCGTTATTCGCCATTGAACTACGTGGAACTAACTTCGAGCGAACCTCTGTTGCAATATTACCAAAATCCATTTCAAGGGTCTCCTTGGTAACTTTCTGAAAGTGGTTTGTATCACCAATTATATATTGGTGAGATTACCAAATATTTGCACGGACAAGGTCTTGTATCTATTTGACTGAATGTGAAGTAGAACCTTTGAAACTTTGTTTGTTGATCTAATTTTTTTCATGCCAATGTTCACCGTCCACCTATGTTTATACTTACCGTAATCATGATTGATCCCTTAACGCTCATTTCTAACCTCCTGCCCGACTATGATCCACGACCCAGTCTATAGACTAAGAAACAACGCATATACACTACTTACCGTAAAACACCAAAAACAAATGCGTTGTACGTTTTTTTTTACAGTACTGTATAATATATTGTAAAACAGGTTGACAATACCTATCCGTAACTGTAACATTTTTACCAGATTCAGAAGGCCAATAACCCTGTTACTAGACTCCAAAGAGCTTCAACTATTCCCTGGACTCCCGCCCACCAATGTGGCACTTTATTATGGAACGCCTAATATCTAGACGGAACAAGAATATAACGAGCCCCATTGCTATTGATATGAATACAACTAAATTATAGAACATATGGTTTATCCTTTCCTATAATTCATTGTTTATTAGTCATGGCATCATGCTCATAACCCTCAATTTCAGTTCCCAAATCTCTCTAATGGTTAAAGATACATTATTCTTCCCAAGTGTCATGTCCTTTTCTTTCTATTGCAAGTAGACAGATAACTCACTAATCTTATGGATCCTGACCAACCAAGGCCGATCATACGAAGCTCAAAATGTTCTAAAGTCTTATGAGTTGCTCAGTGTTTTATTTTCCTTACCCTGAAAATTTTGCAATATTATACTCTTTCATATCCTTTGATTTGCTATCAGTCCTTACCATCTTTAAACCACACATAATCTAACCTGCTTTTTTTAAATTTTACCATTAGTTATCTTCATGACGCTGTGATATACTAAATGGATATCTGACACATAATACAATTGCTTCAACCATCTGATTTGCTTGTAACATGGAACTAGTAGAGACAGTGTATTGCAACTATGGGCTTTGATTAAAGCAATATGAATACTAACCACAAACGTAACGGAGCCTAGCAACACAAAAGGAGGGAGGATGCCGTTACTGACCAGCAAACACGATGGGGGTGAGATAACTCCAATCCACCCATGTCTGTGCGGCAGAACATTTTATTTAATTACGGCTGCTTATGATCTACTGCAACGTCACGAACTAATGGTACTGCAAAATACCTCATTAAATCGTGTTTAGAACGTTGGCTTGGTTTCACTCCCTACCGAGTAATCCTATTGCAGGCAAACTAGACAATTCGCTAAAAACGAAGCCTATTCAAGACCGTATAAAATCTAAAAAAGGTCTCAAGTAGCTTCAACAAAAAAGTCAGGACGGCCATTTGTGTGTCAAAATGCCGTTTTCAGCACTATATTTTATAGCTACACATAATCCCATACTCTCGGCTTCTTTCTGAAACATCTCCGTTTGTCAGTTGTTTATCCACTCATAAATTAAGTTATGAGTGTGAACAATTGTTCGCAATTATTTTCTTTAATATATTGGAATCCCACAACCCCTTAGTCATTATTACTGTATTGTATTATCTGAAGACTAACTAACTGAAATTCAGTTTGTTTATGAGGGACAGTATGAATTTTATCTACCAATTCACCACAAATTTATATTTTGTTAAGCACTGTTGAAGTTTTATAATCAGTTGCTTCGTTTCTCTTTTTCTATATGTTTTGGCACCAATTTCACAGCAAATAGCCATGGAACATCGTCTTACACCAAGAATATAAATCTGGCGCGTGTCTGTCAAGGTCATGGCTTTTACCAAGTCATACAATCATCACACTTTTACACGTATACTTCT